TTGCCATAGGTGAATTCCACAATATTTCAGGTAAAAGCTGAAATTAGAAGGACAGGGGAGCAGAAAATCAGCAGGATCAGTGTCCATAATGTGAAGACTAGCAAAGAAGTTGACAACCTGTTTCTGTTCTCAAAACTTCTTTATATGAACAAGCATTGCATCTCCTTTTACACACTCCATTCTACATCTGTATTTAAAAACAAATAATCCAAAGATGTCTTTTTTCCTTAACCTTCCACAAAGAGGAAATGCTAAAGCCAGTACGTTAAGTAATTGGGAGACTTCTTGCAATGTATACCCAATATTTTTGATTTTTAAAATGAAAACAAAGCAGCATACCCTTAAGGCCATATGGTGTGAGGGCTGAAATAGTTGATGGTTTTCAGCAGCATCCATGCATTGTCCCTGGTGTTTCCACAATTCAAATTACTTAAGAGGGGCTCACTGTGATACTGAAGTACTGCCTATCTTGCTATTCCATTCTAATTCTTTGATAGGAAGAATGGGAGCTTGATGAAAATCCTCTCATTTCACTTTCTTTCTTAAAATCCTCTGCTTTTCTTTGTAAGTTTGTCACTTTGTTTGGATTAAATTTTAAACAAACTTCATACCAGCAAAGGGAGACATGAGCCAAGAGAGGTTTATCACATGCAGTTGCTAAGGAAGATCCAGCTTGGTTGGACTGGAGTGTGCAGCAACTGGTAGTGCTTATTCTGCTATTTCTGTCTCTCAGCCTCTGATCTTTTCAGTATTTTGGGAGAAATTGGGATCTTACTGACTGAACTGTGTAAAGAATGAGAGTTACGAGCTTTTTTCATTTATCTTTATTATCTCTGGGCATTTGTGAGGGATCTCTGCCTTACCTGGTATTCCTCCAGATGAGGCTTAAGATTGCTCTGTCTACTTTTCCTGACTCCCAGGCTGGCATCCCTCTATTTTGAAGCAGCAGCTGAAGAGTCAGTTTGGCTGTAGTGATAACGCTCTCTTTTTCTCCAGCCCCCTATTTTCTCCTTTGTGAAGTCTGGAGGGTAGCTTGGTTCCATTTTTGCACAGGGGTTAATAACGTAAGACATCTTCATACCGCTCTAATATGCTCAGCTGTAGAGGCAGGTTAGAAAAACTAACCAGAAGAGTTAGATTCAGTCCCTTCAATGAAATGATTTGAAGGGTTTTATCACCAGTCATTTTCTAAGGAAGCAATATGGTGTATTTTTTTAGACATAAGTTTAATGTACATGTTTCTCCAGCATAATTGCTGTAGACTTAAGTAATTGATTTCTTTTGGGGTAGGATAAAGAGAAAAAGTTATGATGCGTGTTCTGGTGACCAAAAAGCCACTCAGCATATTTGATTTTAATACTAGGCCACTTCAGAAGAGGTAGTTTTTGAACAATTTTAAAAATACAACCTTGGCTTCCCTTTTCTGCAGAAACTTATGGTTCTTTGGTTGGTTGGTTGGTTGGTTGGTTTTTCAGGTAGGGGCATGTATTTTCAGTGGTGGCACTACAAGTTATAAAAATGAAAGTGTAAACCAAGTGTTTTATATTTTAACAAACATAATTATTTTTTTCTGTCAAAGCTTAATACCAATTTTTTAGAACATGGCAAAGTGATGTGTATTTTAAGTATGTAATTTCTTGCTGCTTTCAAGACAGCAGTAAGCCTATTGAATAATGAATTGGTAATATAATTTTTATGTCTGCTGAATACTGTTTTATGGCATTTCTATGTCACAGCCTGTTGAGAAGTTCAGACCTGCTTCGTTCTCCATCAGGTAGCTCTTAGTGCATGCTGAGAACTATTTTTAAATAACATTATATATGCAAAGTAAGGACCTACAAATTAGAAGTGACTATCTGAAGGTTGCTCGCATTGTCATAGGTCAGTACATGCTGCATCTGCATATCGCTAAAGCCTCAAACTTCATCACTGTACACCATTTGTTCTGCAGGAAAGCTTGCTCATTCAGTGCTAAAGGTAGATACCTGATGTTGCAAGGAGGTGCCATGAAGAAAGCATAACATTCTGTTTTAACTTAGAGGATGAGAATGTGTTGCAAGAGCAGTCAAGTTCTGCTCCCTTGTACTAGGTGCATGAACAGAGTTCACAGGAGTGAGCTCTGAAGGGAATGTTGCTTCTGACACTTTCTAATCTTTTTTGAAGGTTTGACTTCTGAAGGGGAGTGTAGGTTTATTGTAATTTTTGTATGCGATAAAAGGTGCCTCAGAAGTTAGCCATTGAAACACTTCAAGTTATTTTCAGAATGACAGAGGAAGTCAATATTTCAAAGTGGAATAAATCAAAGCACAAGGTATGCGCTTTGTGTTCTACTTGTGTCACAGTTTAGCCTTGTGACTGTAATCTCTTCCTTCCGTTACACATTAAGTCTGCCAAGGATAGCTGATGTTTAATTTTTGCTATATAACTTGGCATGGCTTTGGTCGTGGTGGATGTGGGAAAGTTCAGTAAAATTTCTTATTTGGAGCAAAGAATACATGGCTTTTTGTCTGTCACTCTCTATTCCTGCTTGAGATAGTTTTTTCAACTTGCCAGGCCCTTTTTGAAGATGTTTTGTTGCTTTGGTTTCAGCTTTAAAAGAACTAACAATGTTCTTTCCTCACTTCGTAGTCTGAGTTATACAGTGGTTAGTGTCTCTTCATTCATGCTGAGTAAAGCTACAAGGGGCTGCTGCTTCTGAGAATTACAGCTGTGTTTGTAAGTGAAGGAAAAAAGCAGGATTTGACTTTTTAAACTGTATCCCAGTCAGGTTTATGTGTGAGGTTAATGTCTTGTCTAAGCATCAGGGTATTTATTCATCTTCTAGAACAAACAAGAGAATATAAACTGGGGGGGGGAACCCCAGCAACCTATACTATGTGAGATTGTTTCCCATATGCCCAAAGAAAGTTGCATACAAATGTTTAGCATGTGCACATTTCTTGGTGCATGATTGGCTCCCTTCTTAGGAGTGGAATTCAGTGAAATTGGACTCCTCTTTTAAAAACAAAGAGTAAGCACACAACAAAGGATAAGTGATCAAATGATTAGCCAGAGGCTAATAGGAATGCAAGGGAAGAGTGACAGATTGCATATTAGGAGGAAATCTGAGCTGGAAATTAATTTGAAGCTTTCTGCAGCTGAGGCTGCAAAAGAAGCAATTTTGAAATCTTTCTGAAGGACATAAAGAAATGAAAATTGTGACTTGCTTGTGTGTGAAGTATTGTATAATACAAGAAAGAAGGCAAATGGGTACATAAAGTTGCGTTATAGTTTAAAGGAATTTTTCTTCTCTTCCTTGCCCCACCGAATTTTTAAAAAATCTGTTTGCTTAGGATGAAACATGCATCTGCCTGTAGCTTAGTGTGAGAAATTGTGTTAACTTACTTGCAAATTCTGGTGATTGAGAAATACACATGCAGTAAGGTTCTTTGCGGTTAAATCTACATTCTGTTCTATGCAAATAGGAGAGTAAAGTCAGAAGATAAATACCTCACCAGAAACAACTGACAGCTACATGTCAACAGGGAAATACACTTGAATACTGGAAAAAACAAAGCTTTTAATTAGGAAGAAGTGAATATTCCCTTATTTAGTGACCTACCAAATGGTTTTAATTTAACCTTGTGGTAGGTAGATGTCAGTTTGTATTAATAGAATTCACTTTTTTTTAATAGAGATCACATTACCTTTCTTCAGAATTTAACATTAACTGCTGTAGTGCAGCAGTGCATGGGTACACATGGGATTTTTAAGGTTCAAAATATCCCTTTAAAGAAAAAAACCTCACAAACTTATTCAGAAATCAGTTTATGGAAGTTTGCTGATTTAGCTTTTTAAAATGTATGTTTTAAAGCAGTGATAAATACACTGCTGTGAAATCCTAAAGAACTAGTAAATGCACAACAGTAAAATTTTATGCAACAGATGGGTTTTTGACAAGCTTTAAATGTAAGTAAACTTTTGTTGGCATGTTACTAAAATTACTTGCTGCTGAAGGATGGAATTAGTTTCATCTAGGTTCTGATACTCACTGAAGCTGTTCTAAAGCTTGGTTTTTTTTTCTGAATAATTCTCTGCTGATTTTTGATTCATATGAACACTTGCTGCTTATGTAAAAGAAAAATGTCACGACAGTATGTGAAGGTATTAGGTTAGTATAAGTTGTAATTTAAAACCCCTTTCATTTGTGCATTTGTGTCTTCTATACATTAAAGGAGAAAAGTGATACAGTGGAGTAGCCTTTGGATTTATGTGTATGCATCTTTGCTTTCTTCAGAATAGAATTATGAATAATTTCAAGTAGACACTTCTATAAGTGTAACTAACAATTTCTCTTCTTATTTGCAGTTCCTGTATAGTTTTGCAGTTGATGTTGTTGTTGTTGGGATCATCTTGATGGGGGGTTTAGCATGAGGAGTTGAGATCTGTCACTGATAATTCTCTTGCCAAGCCATGAAGTATATAAAAAAAACCCCAAACTCTCTCCCAAGTCCTATTCTTTACCTTTCTGTCATGTATTCATTTAATACAGCAGCAATCAAACAACAATAGAAACTGACTCTTCAAAAAACCTGTATTGTACTGATAGAAATAAATCTTATTATATAATCTTGTCATTAATGATGTCTTAAAGAGTAAAGAGGAAGAACTGCTGCAGCCGAGTAGGCTGTGTCTCTACCCGGTAGGTCCGTATTCCCAGGTAAAAGGTCAGGTCTGTGTTTTATATTGTCCTGCCTTTCAGTCTTTTGGACTATGTTTTCCTTGTTTCAAGTCTCACATTGTAACAATATCTTTGGAGGCATAAGCTAACATCAATACAGTACTTGGGGATTTGCAGCTATATTTAAAGGACGCATATGAGAAAATAAATTGATTCTGGTGCCATGGTGTCTAATATATAACTGAGATGTTCCCATCGTAACTGTGGTTAAGTCATGCTAGTTGTTACAACCAGAGATACTGGTATCCCTCTACTAAATCTATTTTGCTTCTGTTTGCAGCTATGTCGTCTTACCTTTTAATTGTCAAGTCTGAACTTCCTGGTGCTGTTGCGGGATTCTTAAGTGAAGACAAGAGTGGGTAAGGAAAAATGTTTCATACATGTTCTGTATTTGTCTTGAAGAAACAAGTGGCTCAGTACTCCTGAAGGAGATGGGTACTGACACATCCCTCTGATCTCACATGCCGAAAAAAATAGTTATTTACAGAAGTTCTTGGAATAAGAAATGTATTTGGCACGTGTGAGCCTTGTGCAGCACAAACGCATAGAGCATGATTCTTCCCTTATGATTTCCCATCAGATGACCTTAAAGTCTGGCAAAACTTCCATCTACAGGAATCTCTCTTCTGTAAAAATTTAAAAGGGGAAGCAGAAGGGGACAGGTGAGAGAGGAGGAGAAACATTGAAACTGCTGTCATATTATCACTTCACATATTTCAAAACCACAGTACAAAAACCATCAGGCGTTTAAATTTCAGTATTTTGTTGTCTTGCTCCAGTAATTGGACTTGTCTTGGGAAAAATGCCAGTTTTCGAGACTTGATTTATAATTCCCTAACTTGGCTTCCAGTAAAGAAAGCTGTATGTAAGGAGCATGTCCCTCGGATTTCTGTCAGAACTGTCACAAAAAATATCTGTGCTGAGCCAAACATTGCAGCTTCAGCGCTGAGATGTTTTGTTCAAGTTGCCCAGTGCTGCTGTCATTCAGAACAGTGTATATCTTAGATTGTGTTATGGCCATTTTCCCAAACTATTTTCAGATATTTTGAGCTGAAAACTTTCTCTGGATTGACATGTAGTGAAATTGTCTTAAGGCTGTGTGATGCTTGTATTATTCCTGAATGTTGTGAGTGAATTTTCAGTTTGAAATTAGGTTTTTAAAAGATACTTTAATTCATTTTGTATCTTGCCATTTAAAAGTTTTCCATTTTATAATGACCATTTTGAGAAAAGAGATGTGGCAATCTTGCTTTCTGTCATCCTGTCCCTTGCAATAATAGTTTTTTGGTAAGAGACCTCTCTTTAACTGCTACATTTTATATGTGGTTTTTTTTATGTTAAATGTTATTTTGAGTCAGCTAATGTACCTCTTGCAGGTGTGGTAGCCATAAGTTTTTTATTTGGGTGCCTTATCCTTCAAGATCATGCTTTTAACTCCACTCTTCATACACAGTGGTATCGAGCCTGCTACTGTATCTGCTGCATGTGCATTCCAGTCTGTCTGTCCCCAGATTTAGCACATAACGTCACTTACTACTGCTTTTAATTTTATGTCAGTGCTGTTTATGCTAGGTGACGCTTTGTTTATCAAGATCCTAGCACAGATCTCTGGATGCAAACACTGGTGAACACACAGACAGGTTATAGTGATTTAACTAGGTACTGCAAATCACTTGAACTGTTGTAATAATGCTCAGTGTGCTGTCAGCACTGCTACCACCTATACTTCTTCCTTAGCTGAAATTGCAGTTTGAGATGGGAATGAAGTTCTAAAATACTTTGCATTTAGAAAGAGATGAAATTTTCCACAGGAATAGTAACCACAGCTCAAGTGGTAAGCTGAATGTCAGCTGAGCCTTGTCCTGTTTCTGCCTCTTACTGGGAGTTCTTCCATTGAGATATTTATTTGACACAATTTGAATTCTCTGTTCTTTGCCCAAATGATTGTTTCAAACACAGACCATGGTCAAGGAGTGTTCCAGTTACGTGCATGCTGCTTACCTTCTCTGTATGCCCACACCTGTGTTTCTTATTTTTTGCTAGATTAATTGCCATGGTAGATCATAATCTTTTGTTCCTGTGTATTTCTTCACAGATTTTAAGAGTAGGTTTTTACTGACTATTTTTTAAATTGCAGGAAATGGTTCATCAAAATTAGGTAATCAAATATTAAGACAAACTAGCAACTTATTTATGGAAAGGGCATAAATGATTACTAGCTTAATCAAACTTCAACTGGACACCAGCTGAACCAGATGTGGTTGCGCAACTATTCTTTGTTAAGTCATAATATCTGATACTCTTTAATTTGGGTGCAAAACTTATGTTTAACTGTAGTTAGAATGTATCAAAAGTGTCAGCCTCTCTTTGAAAATATTTTATATGCATAAATCCTCCCAAGCCATACATTTGGGAAAGCCATTAAAGAGTGTTTTGCACAGTGAATTATTTTTATAGATGAAGGTTAGCAGGTGTGCATGTGTTTGAAAGGCTCTGAGCCAGTGTGTAATGCGTCTTGGTGTCTTTATTAAAAACCAAAAACATACAGCATGAGCACTTGTTAATTGCAAGTTTGTCTGTCTGCATAACAAGAATTCCACATAGTTTTGATGACATGAATGTAGTTTCAAATGAGGATTGTGTTAAAAAGTTGTAATTTGTGAGCCCTCTGTTAACATTTAATGACCCTGTCAGGAGTATATGATTGATGCAATTAAGTTGTCTTGCTTGTGTGTTATATAATTGATATGGACGGAGAGTATGATCCTAATTTAGAACATATGAATCTCTTGTCCTGCTGCATTCAGGAATGAAATTAAAGCGATTTATAAATGTCTGCTTTTAGTTAAAATATGGGGGAGGTGGAGGAACATCTGCATGCCAAAGCAGTTTCAGTAGAGTCAAGGATTTATATTCCATATTTCGTATTTGGAACATTCTTATCATATAAGATTATATTTGCAGATCAAACTGATTTTAAAGGCAATGTCAAAACATTCTCTTTTGGAAAATAAGTGTACTTCTACCACAGTATTTTGAAGGGAAAATGGACACATTTATTGCTAACTAGTAAATGGTCCCCTATTCAGATTTTATGAGATCTTTTAAATGAAAGAATTGGTATTCCAAAAAATAAGAAGTTTACAAAATTGTTTTCTCCTTTCCATCACCTCATTGCAGTCTCCTCCACCACCACCCCCCTGACCCCCAAAAATGTTTTTTTATTTACCATAAGGTAGCCAAAATAAATTTCTTTCTGTCCTGCTGAGCTTGTGAGCTACGATGGCAACTGTGGATCTCCTGTATATTTGGAATCGGGAGACTTAAACCAGAGGTCCCACATGTACATCTAGTGGAACATTCATTACACTTTTGCCTATTGCTATGTTACTATTCCTTCTGATCTGAAAATCCACCATAAAGAAAGAAAAAGTTAAAAAATACATGTATGCTAGGTGTGTAAAAACATGAAGAATACTGTAGCAGGGAGCGGAACTCAGAAAGCTGCTTTCTCACTGTAGCAGTAGCAGACCTGGGCTAATAGTGTATTTTTTCTTTATTTTTAAGAATTATCTATTTTGAGTAATTTTTAATGCAGACTTCTAGGTTACTTTGATTTTGATGTGGTGAAGATGCCCTCAAACTTGAAATTTCTCTGTTTATATAGTGTGTTTTTTTCCAAACAAAAAGTGACACAAGTGTTTGTCCATGATGTATGCCACTATTTAATACATGTATATGGTGATTTTTTTTTTTTTTTTTTGAAACACAGGTGTTATGCTACTTTCCTTATGATAACTTGAGGTGCTGCCTGTTTATTAGGTGCTAACCATATCCTGGACTAAATAAACTTGAAGGTCAAAGGCCAAGGTGTTTATAGGTAGTAAAGTCGGAGACTGATGTGCAAGATGTTTATCAGGACAGGATATGGTTATTGCCAGTTAGGGGGAGCCACCCTCAAGATGTTTCTGTTTTCTTAACAACTTACCCATCTGTACTTTCCTCAATTTGCAGATGAGGTTTTGATACTTTGAAGTAAAATATATTTGAATAGGGTTTTTTTTTAAATGTATTACCTTCATACACCTCTACTGTGCTTTTTTTCACATGTATAGTTTTATGTTTAAACGTTATAGCAGGTTTCAATATCATAATTTCCATCCCCTTTAATTCTTGTGTGGGTGCATGCAAGAACTAAGTGATCACTTTGTGCAAAGTTAAGGATAAGAAAGTCCTTTTTATTGCTGTTTGGTTTTGTATCTCCTCTGGACAGCAAACATTTCAAATTAACTGAAAGTTGACTGACTTGTTTTCTTCTATTATTTGAATGTGGTGATGGTAGGTGTAACAAAAGGTGGGCAGAAGAGAAAGTTGGTATGTTTAGAAAACATAAGCGAATTTCCAAACACGTAGTTTGAGTAGCTTAGCTTTCTGTTAGCTTTCTGTTTCACACTGCTCGCAAATGGTCAGGAGCTAAGGTCATGTAGAAGTAATAAACTGTAAGGGAAGTTCAACTGTAAGTAGGAATTGATGTTGCCCTTTGTTACAGTTGTGTAAATATGCAACTTGGTGTAATCCAGTTTGACATACATGTAGCTTACTCTACAAATTTCCAGTATAAATACTTACTGAGTATGAAATGCCCTTGCTCTTGGATTGTTGCTTTGAATAAAGGCAGGGATTTGCATGTTGTGCTGCTGAGAAATAGCTTTGCACAGATGAGACTCCCAATCTGTGCAGACTCTTGCTTATGGAACATTGCCTTCAGTGCTGGTTTGTAACGAGGAAGCAGAGCGCCATCCTGTAATCTGGGAGCTCTGTTTTATATCACCATATAGAGACCAGGAATACAGATTCATGTAAATAGCATGTGAGACTGGAAATTATTTATTTTTCTTGTCCTCGTGGCTGTTTTGTTTAAGATCACAGTGTTAAAGTAGAACATTTTTTTTTTTGACTCTTGAGCTTCGTATCAGTCATAAGTAGATTTTTCCAACAGGTCTTGGTACCTTGATGGCAGACTGCTGTTACTGATTACTTCAATCTGCATTGTTTTTCCTCTTGCGCTTCTTCCTAAAATTGGTGAGTAATTAAAGGAGAGAACGGAATATTATTCTACTTTAGTAGCAATTACAATTGAAGACTTTAAAACCTTAATGGGTTGGTTATTTATTTTAACTGGCAGGGGGCTGGTGATGGTGGGGATTACTTAAGTTGCAGTGTGTTCTGCCTTCCAGCCCTGCCTAGTTAACCTATTACTTGGGTTGCGGTAGTATTTTGTCTGCAATACTAAAATAAAATCTTTACAGCAGAACATTAAAGAGCTGCATTTACTTACAGCATGCCATTAGTGGTAAGCCAGTTCTAATTCTGCCCTACAAAACTACATAAATGATCTGTGACAGGCAGTTGGAATGTTGTTATTCTGAGTCCTAAGCCCCAGATACCAAGCACTGTAATAGAAAACATGCCTAAAACCCATGCCTAAAATGTAAAGCTTTAGCTGTACATTAGGATCACTTTCCTTATAAATTCTCTTTTATTTTTACTGTTATTTTACAGGCTTTCTTGGCTACACAAGTAGTTTATCATTTTTCTTTACTGTGTACTTTGCTCTTGTGGTAAGTTAGATAAGCTGTGCGCAGACTTACTTTTTTTTTTTCTTATTGTTTGAATGTTTTCATTAGCCTGTTTTGAAATTAATTGTCTTCCCCTCCCCCCTTAACTTTTTATGTGAAATTTAGAGTTTTCTGGAAGTTCAGTATGGGCTTGCTTACGTTTGTTTTTCTGAGGCATGGAAATGGAGATGAACTTTGATGCATGTGAAAAGATTTAAAATAATTATATCTTGAACTGGTAAATGTAACAATATTTCTGTTTTGCTGACGGTGCAGTGGAGGGAGCTGGCACATATACTTTTGTTTCCCTACTAGTAGTGGAATGGAATTCTGTTTTCTTAGCTTCTAACTATTACTTACTGCAACTAGTGCAGAAGAAAATTTAATATACTCCAAATAAATTAGATTTACATGTATAATAGAGTGACAGAGTTCAAAAAAAGGCAAAGAAAACTAGAACTTCATTAAGGTGGTTTACAAGATTCATTAATACGTCAATGACCTTATTCTTCTTCTGCACTGAAAGGAAAAGTTCTTTTCTCTGAGCCATATGGGATTTTTTGACCCTGATGTTCACTCTCTCAAGGCCTGTGTGAGGTAGATGTTTCCAAATACCAAAATTGAGACCTGCTAGGCAGATCTAAGAAGGAAAATGTGCCTTTAAGTTGTACTATTTTTCCTTTCACAGGGGAAAAAAGTGTATTAATGCACATGTGTAATATGTAGTACAGCCAAGCAACTCACACTCTGTCATCTAGGTATAGAAATAAGAATCTTATTTAGGAGCCTGAAAAAATGTTCACCCTCTTCCCTGTCATTCTGGCTTTCATTCGCTTGCATTTAATACCTGTTTTGCAAAAGGATAAACAGAGTTGAAGGCAAGTTGAACAAACATGCCATCCAGGAGACCAAGGCAATCCATTAGGAACTAAACCATGTGATAAAACCAAACTTCAAAGCTGTCAAAACATCTCCCTAGGGTATCCCTGGAGAATTGCACTCTTTGTAGGACCTTGGGAAGTATTCTTCCTAAGCTGGACATTGAGGAGCGGCCACAGCCTCTCTGGACCTAATGGAAATTCATTTATAATATTTATAAATTGCCTTAACTTTTGACCTCTCTCCTAAAATTTGTCTTAAAAAAAAAAGAAGAAAGAAAAAAAAGGGGAAAAAAAATCAGGAAAAGGCACTAACTATAATGCTGAAATAGACCTTTGGCTGAAGCTAGTTGGAAGAGTTTTGAAATAAGTGCAGCTCCTGGATTGCAATGTGAATGAGTATGCATCTGTGAAGGAAGCTGTTGTAATGGGTGGACACATTTGAAAACAATTTGGGGGGTCCAGAAAGGCCTCTGTGTAAGGAAGACTTGTGTGCAGAGATATTAAGGTGGGATGATTTAAGATAGGGTTTAGTTTTGATTATCTAGCAAAAAAAGTAGGTAGAAAGTGCTAATGGAGGAGTACACAGACTACTGGATTTCTTATGTAGTGGTTGCATCTGTATGCCTACTCTGTTGTTAAGTGACAAAGAAACAGCCACAGTAAATCTAACTGAGATCAAAATATTTAAAAGCCATTACAGATATTTAAAGAAAACTAATACTGTTCACAGCATATTCTCTGACTTCTCTAGGCAGTGGAACTCAAAGGCATTAACTGTGGTTTAGTTTTCATATCTGATTGATTTGAAGTGGTTGATATGTGCTGTTGAAATGGTGTTTTAGTTTGCACGATGTTAATTTCGGTATGGAAGATATGTTTTAATTTGTCCCAGAAGGAAACAGTCATACAGAAGTCATACAATTGTATTTTGCGTGTACAATAAATCTGCATTTTCAAGTGCATACCATCTGTTCAGCTTTTTGTAAGCAAGCCACAGTTTTAATAGAGCCTGTGGAAATGATAGGCACAATAGTCAGTCTCAGTCAATATAGTGTAGTGAGTGCATAGAGCAAAAGGTGTAGAGGCCTTTGTTCTCTGTACTCTGCTGTGGGGCTTTGGCAGGTCACAGATCTCCTCTGTTGCTTCAGTATCTTTTAAAGTTAATATACTGGCTGTAGTCCTCACTTGGAAAAAAGGTGAAAACACTGAGATGAGCTCATTTGGGAGAAAACAAATACATGTAACTGTTATTTTAAAGCCAGATTCTGTGAGGTCTGAGCATTTTTGTTTCTGATTGTTGAATACTTCCCTGACTTGAATCCTAAGTGAAAGGAAACTAAATGTAATTATTAAAAGGTTTCCCTTTTTTTTGTGGAGACAGTCCTATTGGTAGCTTGTTCAACAAAGGTATAAATGGTTCCTGATGAATTTTTTTTCTCAAACTCATTTATGTTCCTAGAGCAAAATATGATGCTTATTGGGAACCTGCTGTGTGTAATGAACAATGTTAAGTACAGAGATCCCCTCTTTGCTGAGTGCTATCAGTACTGCTGGGATAAAGGGATTCCTGTTTTCCCCTTGCAGGGTAGAAAAAACCAGTATCACTGAGAATATTAGAACATTTTTAGACTATAACCTTTTAGTTTTTTGTGATGTTTTTGGTGTGGCTTTCTGTTTCCACGAGACTCTTTCTTTGGGACTTGGTGTTTTTCACTTAAACCTGAATGTTTGTTATGCTCAAAAGAATGTTTATATGAAATGGGCCTAAAGTTCCAGAGGAAGGCTGTGCTGCCTGCATGACTGCTCAGCTAACTGGGCTGTGCTGCCAACTTAGAAGTCTCTTCCTGTTGTGGGGTGGGGGACCTCATTAGACTACAGTTGAAAACCCAAACAGATTTGAAAAATTAAGGAGGTGGGTGAGAATATAATTACAGATTTTAAATGTACCTGGTGCATTTTATTTTGTCTCATTTATTTCCATTTCAATCTGTTCTTAATCTGTATTAATTTTATTTTAGAGAAATGTTTGTTTGATTCTTAGGTTTGGCTTCTCTTGCCCTTCCTCTGCAACGTTTATATAGAAGTTTGCTCTTCAGCTTGCAGGAAGCCCTGTCCCCACCACTGCCAGGACACTTTACTTTCCCTGAAGCTTGCCTTTCAGCTTCATGCCTGTTTTCTTTGCTCAGGAAGCATATTCTATTCTTAGGCAGTTTTCCCACAAAGCCTTCTGCTTTGGGAGCCTTCAAAGCCTCTCCTTTATTTCCCATGTCTGGGTGCCTTTAAAAATACAGAGATCTCCTTGAAAAAATATTTTGCCTTCTTGCTCAGCCTCATGAATGTCTTCAGCTAGCCAACAAGCTTGGGCTTCCTGGGGAGCGGGCTTCCTGGGGAGATAGCACAGCCATGCATCTGTGGTTGTAGTACTGCAGCAGCAGCCTGGCTTTGTGTCTTGGTTCCTAACTGCTCACTGTCTAGTGTGCAAGAGACATGAGCAGGGGTGACCCATGGGACAGTGTCATGCATATGTAGGATACAGGCCAAGTTATGCTTTAAGTCCCTTTATGCTTTAATCCCATTCCTTTTTGTCCCATGCTTGCTCTTTAGTTGAACTTCTTGATGTGCTACCACCATGTTCTTATTTCTTCTGACATCCTTCCTCAGATGAGGTTGCAGTTCTTGTAGCATAGAGGGAGACAGTTTAGCTGGTCAGTAAAGCAGGTAAAACAGTCTCCTGGTATAAAGCAGTGCCAGTTTAGTGTCAGAATCATGGTTGGAGGATTTCTATTGAGAATCCTGCAAGGATTGCAGACTGCTGTTGGGCAAGCTACTGCCTAGTTCCATACCTTGAGTTGTGAGTTGGTTTTAGTCGAGCAATTTAAGGCATGTTACTGTCACAGTGGACTCAGTGTGCTGTGTACCTGTAGTTTCCTTTCCCTGTATTTTGACCAGAGGCAGCATTTGTTTGCTTCTTGTGGCACTGATGACAACAAGGAACATCTAATACTCCGGGAAACACCACTTGGCTGCAAGCAAAGTTATTCTCTGAGCCAGGAGAAGCACTCTCTTCCATGTTATTCTTCCTGTGAATCTGAGTCTTTAATTAAGTTTTTAATTATTTGCTCTAGGCTTCAAAAGAATTATCTAAAGCCAGGCAGCTACAATAGGAAATTAATTAGGGTGAGGCGAGCAATGCGACTATCATTTTAAACTAGGCATCCGAAAAAGGAGGTAAAATTTCTTATTTTAATTTCCCTTTGATTTTCAGCCCTGTTACTTGGCAGTCCCTAAACCAGCAGGGTGTAGCTAAAGCCCCCATGACATTCTGGGACAATAATTGCATTTATTGTTTTTTCCTTTGCTTTCTAGTCCAAACCATATGTTTCTGCCTTTTAAGATTAGCCCTAGGCTCTGTTCTATCTCTGTTAAGGGCTTGTCTGCTTAGAGAAAGAGCCTGGAATAGCTAACACAACAGCTATTCTGTATGGGAGGCAGTTAGCGTGGAACACAGAGGGTGAATGTGGAGCACTGGTTGTATTTCAGTTAATGTCAGAGCTCATTTCAGTGCACCACCTCCAGATAGGCACGCCATAAGGCTGCCAGCTGTGCGCAGTGAGCAGCTGTATGGAATGGCACTGACAAGTTTTTCTGTCAAATTTCCTTCTTGCAGCCTAGCTATCTGCCAGTCAAGCCTGTTCATTTACTATGGGTGTAACTTCCTCTTTATATACCAACAGTCTGATGTTTTAACTACATGTATCTAGATGTAAACTGATTTTTAGGGTGTCATTAATACATTAAATATGCTGTCTTTGCAGATTATGGTTAAAAAATGGTCAATCCCTTGTCCTCTGCCTTTAAGTAGTGCTGTAGAGACCTTACAGGTAAAGTTTATGCTGTTTTGAAGTTCTTATAATTTTATTAGCAACTAATACTTTTTTTTTCTTTTTTTTTTTTTTTTAATATTAACACTTTCACAATTACTTGTAATTTAAATTCTTTCTTCTCTTAATCACCGCAGAAACTAAAAAGTTCCATGTCTGTGGTTTGGGCTTATTCTTTCATTATGCCATTTTTTTGTATGTATGTCTTACAGGTTTCAAATTCTACTGGGGATTGTAAAGCAAAGCTCTTTCATCTTTCAAAAGAGGTAATCTCTATTAACAATATGCAAACTTAAAGGGGGGGGTGGTTTTCATAGAATTGGGGTTTAAGCTCTGTACAGGATAAGCTATTCTTCTGTAAAACTAGTCACAGGGTGCTGAAATATTTCCTATACCTGCTGCCAAGTGTTATCCAGTCTCACTCTTTTTTATATGAAGGCTGGCTGTCCAACTTAGCATTTATGAAAACATTTTCCAAAGTATAAAGTATAACAGATGCAGCAGTGGTCAGCCTCATGATGCAGTCAGATCAAGCCAGCTTAATATGCCCTCAGCTGGGAGTCAGTGCTGCTTGACTGTATGCACACTTTTAGTTCCTAGTGAGGTAGAACAGGTTTCCTGAAACTGCCTGGACCTGACCTTAGTTTTTTCTTACATGAAGCAAATTATTCAGGCCTAATGCAATTTTGTACATTTCACTGGATGTCAGCTCTCGTATTTGTTGATTAATGTGGCAATTAAATCATATCATCACACATCAAGGCTTGCAGGAGAGGAAGTATCATGTAGAACCCTAGTCTCTGTGGGATGAAGAGGAAGGGAAAAAGGTAAGAATGAATCTGGCATATGCCTGTAGTGTAGTGGAATTTAGGAGGGGCACAGTTGTACTTCTCTGAACAAAAGAAAAAACCCAGTCCCACCCTCCCAAGAGAAATCTGGGGGAATTTGGGGCAGTGCAAACACGAGAGAAATGTTTTCTGTAGATCAAAGAAGAAATTTTACTTTGACCAGAAACATATACCATGACATTCCAGCCTTTTGTGCTTTGAAGAATCTTGGGACTCATCTCTACTTCTTTAATTTTAACTTTATCAATAGGAAGTGGCATATTTTTACCAGTATGGGCCTGATCGTGCCAGCACCTAAGTGTTTGTTACAGTTCAGCTTCACTGTCATTTGAAGTAAGCTATAGTAGATAATTCATCTTTTTTATTGTATTTGGAATAATTTACCACTAACTGTGTGGTTGCAAATTTATGTAACTGTTTTAAAATTTCAGATGCCAAGCATGTTACATTTTCTGAACGCTGTATGCAAATTTTTGTTAAGGAGTAATAAGAAATAAGTGAAGTCAGGTTATTTGACAGGTAGCTATGGGTATTAGAATTTAGGAAACTTCTTAGAAAATTCCATGAGTGATTCACTGACTCTGGGGCAAATCCTACTCTTTATGTAAGTACTTGGCCTCAGTATAGCTAAAAAAGAATCTTTCATTTGTCATATACAGCATGACTTCTGCTCATGAAACAGTAAGCTGTCACCACCACTTGAAAAGCTACTTACAGAGAAGGTCCCTTTTTTGTGGAATAATTCAGATGCCATTCTGTGTGGTGGAGATTTATCTAAAGCATCAATGCGGAGAGATTTCCACTGACTTCAAGCACTTGAACCAAATTCTGAATTCATCCAGATATTTTTCCAACCATTTGTAATAACAAACAATCTACAAGATATTTTTCTTCTATTTTAGAGTGCTTATGCAATACCAACTATGGCCTTCTCTTTTCTCTGCCATACGTCAGTCTTACCCATCTATTGTGAGCTCCAAAGGTAATGTATGAAAACACATGCAATATTAAAATATGATAGTATTTCTGTAATATTTTCCCTAAATCTGGAATAAATTTTATTTTCAAGTCAGTGCATCAAAAAATGCAAATTAAGTAGCTTTCATGTATTTGGGAAATGTACAGTTTTAGCCTGTACTGGCTCTTCCTCTCTTACAGGAGAGAAAAGTAGCAAATATGATTCCATCATCAATGTCAGTACATTGTCCTGGCCTGGGCAATCAGGAGAAAAAAGGTCATTTGCTAAGGTACTTATTAGTTAATTTTTATTGCTGTAGCTGAATCTGCGTTTGGTCACATCTGATTCAGTGGGGGGGTTTTGTCCCAGATTCTGTTCCTGGCTTTGAATATATGTCATCCTGTATAAATCAAAATTTTGATTTAAAAAATACTCTGGAATGTCTGAATTCCCTACAAGATGGGGATGATGTTTGTTGTCTCCTTTGAGACTGCTGTGAAAAGTGCCCTTTAATGATTATATTAAAAATATTCTTAAAAACTTTAAATATTACTGGCAGCACAGACTTCAGCAAATCCTCAGTTGCTATAAATTAAGCCAGTGCTCTCTTAATGAAAGGCAAGCTGCTATGGAAGTTGCATTATGTTTAATAGTCCATGATTCAGATTCAGCAGCACTAATTTTCTGGTTTTTGTGTGTGTTTTAGTCCATCCAAAAGTAGAATGCAGAATGTAACTGTCGCAGGAATTGGTCTGAGTTTCCTAATTTACTTTATGTCTGCTCTGTTTGGGTACCTGACATTTTATGGTAAGTATATTCTTCAAGTGTTCTTTAGAATGAAAGCTAATAGTAATGACAAATGCATTCTGACTGGTGTACTTAGGCTTTTTTGTACACTGGTGTACTTGAAAGCTCTGAAATCTTCTTTTGAAGGCTTAAGAATTTGCCTGCCACTGGAAAGTGTTACAGTCTCACTGACTTCTCAGTGAGTAATGTAGTTAAACTTTGCAGGGTTTATGCCTTAAAATGCTATACAGAAAGTTAGCCATCCCTAAACTGCAGCTGATGGTTCGTGTTCTTTAATACTATGTAATTAAACTACTGATTGCCACTGTACTGTTGGACTTATAATATTGTCATTTATATTCTGAGAATAGATTTATTGTGATCTGTGAGAAATTCTGAGAGCTGGTAATAGTCTGCTCATCCAACAAGGTTGAAAGGTCTGTTCTAAGGCTGTACCTTCTAGGACATTTATAACTTAATTAACGTGGTGATATCCCAGCACATTTGTTGTCTCTGAGGCTGTTGCCTTTCATGAGAGGAATTTGACCCACAGCAAGCCAGCCCTAATGTTAGGTAGGTGTGAAAGTTTGCAGCATTTTTTCCTTGTCTGATACAGCTTGGGTACAAAGCATGTATTGCTTTTCTGTTTCATGTTTGTGTTTTTACAACTCAGTTGGAGCTAATAGTAGCTATTGCACTAGAAGTCTATTGGAAGTGGGTGGAAAAATATCCCATGAGTCACAAAATTTAGGAAAGCTTTATTTTAAAGGAGTGTACAAAGTGACTTCTTCATGATATCTTTCTTCATGTGTAACATAAACACAAACTAGAGAAGTCCAGGAAAAAAATAAATTACAAGGAATATGAGGAAATTAGGAGGTGCATGAAAACATATCTACTTTTGTGTCTTGATTTCAGTGAAGGGCAGTGACAAAAGACTGGGGAAGGATTTAAAGATTTAAAAGGATAAGCTTGGAGTTGGGCTTCCTCTAGCACATGCTTCTGGGCTTCAGAAAGTTGTGTTGGTATCTGATACAGGAACTGAGTCAAGAAATGCACAACTCTTGGAGAAGTTGTCGCATAGCGCTCGATGAAGTAAATACAGCTTTTTATTTACCAAATAGAAAAGCGGGTCACTAGTAACACTTGCCCTGCCCGATTCTATAGACATCTTTCATTTCTCTTTGCTGCGAAGTTTATGTGGCAGTGTGCTTCCGTACCAATTCAGTACCTCTGCATTTGGCCTTTTGAATACTTATGGGTACAGTTCCTTTTGAGTTTAAGCATAGATGACTTTGGTATTCTTGTATTTCCCAAGAACACAGAAAGATTTTGGAACCCTAGTCTACATAGTAGCCTTTTTTTAAGGGTCCATCCTAACCTTGACAGAAGTGTCTATTTCATACAGCAGTTTTGGTATCCTGTCTCATGTCAGTGTGATGTCTTTCTGAAGAATTGTCATTTGGCTCTCTGTATCGAGCTGTTTGTTACTACAGTGTGGTTTTGCTCACATAGCACACACTATCAAATTGAATCACCTCTACTTGGTGATCATAGAATCAACTAGGTTGAAAAGACATTTAAGATCATGAAGTCCAACCTTTATGATCTGTTTTCTGGAATAGTTTCATGCAAATGCTATCACATAAATGCATCACAGTCATCTGTTGGGATTCTTTCAATGCCTTCTGAAACCTCACCCTTTTTATGAGGTTATTACTTGCTAACTTGCGTTGATTGAAATGAGTAAAATTACTTACAAGAGACAGTAAGGCAGTAAGACAGAAGCGTTCTGGTTAGAATGTCTTTTGCTTTCAGAGTGTTTTGTGGTTCTTGATGGCCAGATTGAGATAGTGGCTAACAAAGCATCAAGAATATTGGCTTTCAGCAGCTAATAATCCCAGATTTCCAGAGTTTTGTACCTTTTTCCCCTAAGTGTGTATCTGTTTGTAACTGTCTGAAAATGTTAATTTGACACTCAGAATCCTTTGAAACATTACATGGGGAATCTTGAAACCTTTAATAGCATATAGGCTGCTATTAGTGTTTCCTGACTGTCTCCATGTGGTTTGTAGGAAAACACAAATTTGAGTGACACTCTGAGAGTCTGAGAGATGGAGCAGGCAGTGCAGGATGGCCATCTGGCTCCACATGAGGGCTCAACAAGGAGTTTAAAGAAGAAAAAAAGGGGAGGAAAAATTAAAACTGTAATAGTCCTAGAAACCATTGGAGTTCCTGTTACCTTTGCTGTGTCTTTGGGACAATGCCCTGACTTGTCCTTTCTGTTTTTCTGCAAGCCTTATTTCTTTCAGTAACTCTTAGACTCGAGAGACAAACAGTGGATGTCTCTGAGAGTTTTTTTTTATGGTGTCATGTCATCTCCCCCCTCCCCTTCTTGCAAGCCTCTCCTATTTTATTTTCTGGTTGTCTTGCTTAATCAACTTCTTTAAATAGAGAGAATCTGTTCCCTGTTCCTAAAACACTAGTCTGAGAAAATTAAAACATTTTCTTTTAAATTGAAAACAAAAGGAGAGTTCCCTCTTTGAAAACAGACATGCTTCATCTTTCTGTGGTTCAGATGGTTTGTTCTGTTTTCTGTGAACTTAAAACATTGTGTGGTGACTGGACGTTGGAAGCTGTGGTCCATTCTGAATTCCAAAAAGCATAAAAGTCAACGTATGCCACAAAATCTCCCCAAAAGTCAGGGCAGTACTCGCAGAGCTTTCAGAGCTCTGGCTTTTGCTGTTAACTTAAAATTTTCACCTTAAAGTGGCAAATTCAAAGATAAAGTTTGATTGGGTTTTGTTTGGTGGGATTTTTTTGTGGGTGGTGAGGGGGTGTTGTGCTTTTTGGCTTGTTTTTTAAATAGGAAATATCTGCCACAAATGTAACTGATGCTAGTTATTATTCTGTATCATCCAGCGGTACATTGCTAACTATGGCTAGTAAAAGCACTTAACACTAGCATAGTTTTGAACATTCCCTTCTTTCTTTAAATTAGAATTGCAGCTTTTATTTCAAACCATGAAATTCTGCCTTGTACATCACATAGTGTTTCAGGGGGAGGGAGGATGGGGAGGAAGGAAATGCAACTTAACAAAATTAATTTGCTTCTGGCTTTCTAGTTCAACCCAAAGAATCTAGAGTTGAATGTTTCAGACACATAGAACAGTCATAGAATCAAGTAGGTTGGAGAAGACCTTTAAGGGAATCAAGTCCAATCATTACCACAGGCCTCCTGAGACCACTACTAAAGCATGTCACCAAGAGCCTCAGCTGCACTGTTTTTGAAGACTTGAACACGGTTTTTGACCACAAGTTTTACTGTATCCTTGGCCTGATGTTGCCACATGTTTCTTTTGGATGCTTTCTCCTTCATGTTTGTATTTTGTAGTTTTGGCTTCAGCAGAGGCTCTCCAGTGACTTGCCTCCTTAAGTTTTTTCAGTTTTCTGGAGGCTGCCTGTCCTTGTGTGTCAGTAAGGCCAAAGCATGTACAGCTACTCCACGTTAGTCACAAGCAAATTGATCAGTTTGAATGGAAGCTTAATATGCATTGTTAATTATTTTAGTTCTCAAATTATTAACAAAGTAATTATTTTTTTGTTCTTGTTTTCAGATAAAGTGGACTCTGAATTGCTACAGGGTTACAGCAGGTACCTGCCTCATTATACTGTCATCATGACTGTTAAAGTAGCCATCCTGTTTGCTGTGCTTTTGACAGTCCCTCTAATCCATTTCCCGGTAAGTACTCCTCAACATTTTGAAGCTGGCAGTAAGCGATGGTAATGCTAATGCTTTACAGACTGCAATATTTCAGTCACATCTAGTCTTGTGTATCTTACTCACTTGTCAGGTGATTGATCAAAGACCACATATTTGCATATGTTCCATGAAAGCTCAAAAATAACAACTAACCACTAAGCTAATTTGTGCTCTTGAGACAGATTTCAGATTAAAACTAGGCCACAGCTTTGTTTTTAATTTAGAGAATCCAGAACTTCTAAAGTTTATTTGGTTTGATATTTTTTTTGTTGTTTGTTTTTGTTTTGGGTTTTTTTTTTCCTTACCCCTTCTTAAATTGAGTTTTGCTGACTTGGTTTTTCCTTTCTACATACACGCACCCGCACACAAACACACTTATATTTGAAAATTCAATTGTAAATTAGAAACACATATTGACCTGTTTTACAGTAAAACCCTACTTTAGATCGTCAGTACCATGATTGAACTGAAAATTCATTGTTAGGACCAAAAAAATTGTGTGCAAGCAAACTGTGTATCTGGAAGTAGATTATAGAAGCTGGCAACATGCTGACATTGGCTACCAAGCATGCTTAAAGGGACAAAGCATTATCTCCCAGGCCTCTTTTAGTCCCTGCAAAAAAGGAGTAATTCCTTAAGACCAATGGCCATGTAATAAATACTGCTTTGATGATAAAGTAAACTGTGCTACAGAAAGGCAAAACATTTAATTGTTACTGAATTTTTTGCATTTAAATTTTTTTAAATGTTTTTTCACATCTTGAATGATATCATTCCTAAGTTTATGAAATTGAGATAAGATTAAATAGAGTGTATCTATGTATTTACCCATGCAATGTTTCTCTTCGTATCATGTAGGCAAGAAAAGCTGTATTGATGTTATTTTTCTCTCATCTTCCTGTGTCGTGGATTTGCCATATCCTTGTCACTTTAACACTGAATACAATTGTTGTGTTGTTTGCGATGTACGTGCCAGACATTAAAAACGTATTTGGAGTAGTTGGTAAGTTGTTGTGATTGTTGTTTGTTTTTTTTTTTTTTTGTTTAACTTTTCTTCAGAAAATTCATTAAAATGATAATGTACTTTAATCTTGCTCTAAGTAAAAACTTACTTTCTGTTTCTTAAAGGTTCAACCACATCAACATGTTTGCTTTTTGTTTATCCTGGACTATTTTATCTGAAACTTAGCAGAGAGGACCTTTTTTCACGACAGAAACTTGGGGTATGCTTTTTCTAATGTGTGCTAATTATATTCAAATGGCCTCATTTTCTGTTCATCTCAATATGCTGTAGAGCACGTAATCCAAGGGGCAAAGTTCTTGCTCACAGATTTTGTGAATTGCAGTGAGAACATTTTGCTCTGTTCCTCATGATAGCTCTATTCTTTCTGAAACTCCTCCTCCACAAGAGAATTTTGACTAGTAGTTTGTCCATATGCTGAGTACATGCTTTTCCCTATAGTTTTCAGATGTTGACTTTTAATCCAATTTCTCTTCAGTTTTTACGCATTACTCTGATGTCGTCTGGGCAGCTGGGACAAAGCCAAACTGCATTTAAGTGAAATGGTGTTTATGTTTGGTTTTTATGTAAGCCTTCTCAGAAACATTTTCCCCACCCGTCCCTTTCTTTTTTCCCCTCCCCACCCCCCCCTTTTTTTTTTTTATTTCTCTTTATGGTTTCTCTTTTGGTATAGTAGGTTAAACTCCAGCTGGAATTTGTGCAGCAGCCTGCTTTTTGCACTGGAACTGTCTTCATTTTAACCTCCTCTCAGCAAAGCAACTTCATTACAGTGGCTAAAATGCTAACAAGCTTTTTATGCATAAGTCTTTTAGCTGTTCTTACAATTCACAGGGCTGCTCTTGTATTGACAAAATAAGGAGTCTGAAAAAGTGTCTAATAATAATGCTCTTGGACTATTTAAAGTCTTGACTAGTTCCAGCAGTTTGGGGACTCTGTTATAAATCAGCAAGCAACCATCCCTTGAGCTGTAGTTTTATTATCATCTGGCTATTCAAAAATATAAAGAGTGCATTGGAACTTTAATTAAATTTTGAGTCAAATACAAATTCAGTTTCTTAATTTGTTGGGTTGTATCTGCAGACAGACAGTATGAGCAGGCAAACTAACTGCTCTCAGAGTTCCCAATGAAACTATCCCAGAGCAGGCTTAGTTTAGTTTTTCCCTAAACAGATACCTTGTGTTTGAAGACTGAATAATCTGAAGCATTAAAGATTATTTTAAAAGACACTACTTAAATCTTTTCTTACAAGATTTTTTCATCATTAGTTCTGAGCCTTATACATAATGTAAAAAATTAATTTTTGCTTTTCTTTCTTGACAGGCATGTGCATTGGTTGTTTTTGGCATTTGTGTTGGCCTTCTCAGTTTAGTTCTAATAATTTTCAATTGGACTGACCAGTAACAGACTTTTGTTGGTGTCTGAACTGAGCTTCAGAAGGACAAGAACCAGAGAGATGTCAAAACTACCAAGATGAATGCTGGATATCCTCAGGGAAACACTGACCAAAGCTATCTGTGGAAGAAATAATGCTGTTTTTCACTGCATTAGTGATGTTCCCTTAATCTTGAGTCACTCTCTTCGCTTACTGGACAATTAGTCTTTGCCATTCTAAAGTAATAGTTTTTAATTATGAAATAATGACAGGTAAAAAGGTCTCTTGAATTTCTGCATTGCAGAAATGCTTCAGTGCACGTGGTGGACAAAGGCAGAATCTTGAACTAACTTCTGTTTCAAAGACAGTGAGTTGGATAGATCTGTTATGTAGATATGCTAGACAGTCAAAGATTCCTATTGCTTGAATAATTTCCAAAATTTCAGCCAGTTCATATTGAGAACTTCCTGATTCCAAATGTTTACCCTAATTTATCCTAACATGGATCCAGAAACCAACTGCCTTAGCCCAGTTTAACGGGCGCATCATGATAATATTTGTTCATTGTTTTTTGAAACACAGTTTTTACACTTCCATGTACTGGAATCATACTGAAGGAATTTTTAAAATAGAAGGCTTTGCCCATCTAGCATAACAGCTTTTGGTAGTATTGGGAAGTATTTCTATTTTGCTGTTAATAATAGACATTTTTCAACTAATATCTATTTTTGGATGTTGTTCAGTGCACCTCGGTATTTATCCCAGTGAAAGACATCTTTTGTTTTTCTTATTCCTATTTTTACAAGTGTTTCATATGTGAAATAATGTTTCTATATTTTATGTACTGTTGTATGTCAGAAGGTTTGGGTTTGAAATGTGAAATTCTGCCTCTGTTGAAGACAAAGGAAATCTTATGTTTATGGAACCCTAATTTTACCTTGGGTCTCTCTTTTATATTTCTTTTCCTTGCATAAATGAAATGTGAATGCAGTTTTCAACACCCAGCCAGGTTCTGTTAAACATGGTATTGAGGACCCACCATGGAAGTTTCTCATATTAGTAGAAAAGTAGTAAAGCAGTAGCTGATTGCATGGTAAGGTTTGTAAAATTTGTTTCTATCAAATGGGATCTGATAACTTTAAAATAGCCTAGTCTCAAGAGAGTTTATGCGCTAGGGAAGAAGCTGAGCCTCCACAGAATGGCCGTGTCTAAAGTTAAGAAATCAGCCTCAAATGGTAAGATTGAGAGAGTGGGAAAGATCTTCAGTATTTCCAGATGCAGTCATTCTTTCAATTTATCTTAGCACTTTCACATCTGAGAAGTGGAATAAGACACAAGTGAATCATAGTGAAATAACACATCTATGCAATATGAAAGCAGCTAGTAAATGATGTTTAAATAAGTTTTTCTGCCCATAAGGTACAGAGTTAGCAAATTAGTTGACTATTGCCAGAAAGTTCTGCTGAGAAAGTTCTGTTAATATGAATGCAGTTGAATGGGCTTGATCCTCACTTGACTAATAGGGAGGAACAGCAAATAGCAGAGTTGGAATTACCTCCTCTGTTCCTGAGGTGACAGACTAGGATTTCTCATGCCAACAGGTCACTTGGTTCTCTAGGGATTTATAAGATACTCCTTGGTTTTGATAGATGGCCTGAAGGCACCCAGGTGGTGTAGTTTGGTACTGCTTCAGGAATCCTTTTTGCTTGGGCAGTATCAGGATTTTAATACAGAAATAGACATTTTGACGTGTGGTGAGGCAGGGGAACTAACAGACATTTTGGTAAGATCCCAAAGAAAAGGGTCCCAAAGAAAAGACTGCAGTTACTTTCATCTAGTAGACGTTCCATGACACAAGACGAACCATCTAATAGTTTGTCAGTACCAGAAACAGCATGTCCGGTCTTGGCCAGAAGTTCACAACTACTGTGGCAATGGCAGTGGGTTTTGACAAGTGTATTTTACTTACAGAAAACCATCACAACCACAAGATGTGACATGTTACTTGCCAAAAAAATGAACCGAGTGAGCTCACTCAGGGGACAAGAAAAGTGGGAGGAGGGTGCTAGGACTGGGATTAGCTTTTTTCAGCAGCAGCAGCCATTAGGTAGCACAAAACATCATGCTTTGTCCAGCAGTTTTGTTGAAGTGTGTGTGTGCACATAAGGAGTGCTTCTAACTGGAGAGGTCTCTTGCCTCCTTTGATCAAGGGATTTGAGCAGATCTTCTCAGCATTGTGGAAGTATTAATGGTTGAGGCTTCCTCCCCATCTTGCCTTTACTCTTGCAGCTCTTCCAGGTTGTTTAACTCTTGATAACCAGATGTAGCTGCCTTCCTGCCTGCACCTACCCTCTAATAGCTGTGTTTCACAGGTTTTGTTACACTTCAGGGATTTGGTCACTCAGTATCTCTTGGCAGTAGTGCAGAAAGCTGAATATATACGTTATAAAAATGTACCTTGAGAAAGCGATGACAGCTGTACATCAGGAAGTGATTTTCTGTCTGACTGAACCAAAACATTTTAGGAAACCTGGAGACCCTACAATCATGTGAATGAACTGCAGGGTGTTCTGGGTTTTGTTCTGTTTTCTTTCCAGACACTAGAATTTGGGAGGAATATTTATTAGAAATTTCATGGAAGTAAATGTTTCTCATTTAGTATATGCTCTTGTAGCATACTGTTGAGTAAAACTTGCAGGACATCACTGCAGTCACTTTATTTTACATTCCAACCAGCAAGACTCCTGTGAAGGTACAGAACATTGGCAAAGCTTTGTGAAGTTTTTTCTCTTTCCTCCCCCTGAAAAAGGTGAATCTTGCTGTGCACTGTGATGCTCTGTTTGTATACTGTGATGCTGTGTTCGTACACAAGCAGTTGGCTTTGTGTGCATTGTCTTTAAAAATGTGACAGAGGAAATATCTGAAATAGTGTTAATTTTACAGCTGATTCCTGTAATGCTACAGAAATCAAGGCATCATTGTTTTTAATCCCCGAGTATTATCATAACTAACCTGGCTATTACCTAATTGTCCTAGTAGGTAGCCTTTAGAATGATGAATACCAGTGTGTGAAGTTAATACTTGGTGAGAATGAATGGAAGCAATTCACACCTCTGCTGGAGCTCCATGATTACATTTTGGCTGCAAAGCAGGAAGGATAACAGCACAGGGATTACAGAATGTAACTGAAAAAGAGTTAGAAATACGGCTACTTTTAAGTTTCTATAATACATAACTTAAAATATGGAGAGAGGGAGAGAGCCAGAAACAAGAAGAACAACTATTTCCAAACTTAGAAAAACGTGTAAGTACTTTCCACAGTGAAAAAGCAGAGGAAGGACTTTGGGTTTATCCTTCGCATCCCCCACAGGAGATTGTTCTGTTTGCTGTGCCTGCATAAGGGTTGCACTACAATTGTGCACTTGCGTGCACTTTTTTTGAGCAAAACCGGCTTCCAGTCTGGAGCTCTGTGGTCACTCAAGTTCTGATAAATAGATTTTTATTTATTCATGTGTACAGGGTTGGGTTTTTTCCTTCTGAATTTCCAGATTTATAAATTTCAGTGGTTCTGCTTTGTTTTACCTATAGTTAGCATTTTCTGACCTTCTTTGCTGAAGACTTGACAGGAATGGATGAAGGGGCCCACTGTTTTTCTGAATTCATTGGGAAAGGTTGCCTTTCCCCAGCTGACCAAGAACAATGATGGGAAATGAACTGGTTGCCTTTGGTTTGTTTTCTCTCTTTCTCCTGTTTCATTCCTGGTCTATTGAAGGCTGGTCAAATTTCAGATGGACTGTGGTAAGCTGGGTGTGGAGAGTGGCTTTTGTAAACAGCATTGTAGGAACCAGTACTGCAAAACAAAAGTACTCTACACCTCTTTGTTTTGTGGCAGATGCTCATGCTTTATTTCCATGTTTCTGAGCAATTTGTATCTTACTTTTCATGGCAATAAATATGTTTAAAATTCTTTTGTGTGTCCCTGTATAGTGAGAATTGAGATATTGTGAAACTGTCCCATCCTCTCTCTGTCCCTCCTTTCACCTTCCCCTTCAGTTTTTATTAACACCAGTTGATGACACTAGGCAGGAATGTGGTATTAGCTGAACAGTTCAAGTTATCACTTGGGAGTGCAGCCTGGGTGTGAGGGTGTGGGTCCACACTGCTCCATCCATGTCCCGCAGGCTCAGCTTGCCCCTAGTGCCACCACAGATCATGACTGAAGGCCAGTGCTGGCCATGGGCCAATGTTTTCAGTGTGCCCAAGTTGGCTATTTTTGTAAGAATTTGTCTTTTTGAAATACGAAGATAGCTTAACTTTTGTAACATGGGAGGGCTCTGTTGATTTGGAGTTCTTAAATCATTTATGTTGTGTAATATACTTAACATGCTGTATTTCCAACCCTAGCAATCTTAATGAGGATGAAACCATGATGATGCAGTGGGATCTGTCTGATTGAGCTGCTGAGACAAATGTTAAATCCTTGAACAGCTCAGCTCAGCTCACAAGTGCATTGTTTGCATGAGAGAGAATATGGGCTTCAACTTTATTACTGTCTTTCTTGTGTTGCACAAAGTATCATTTTGGTATGGATCTGGGAGTCCATGCTCCTACATCTTTAGTCCGTGGTGCCCACATGGGAGCTGTCAATCCATGCTTGCGTGCTTGGAGGCTCCATGGGCATCTCTTTTGGGCAGGAGTGGAGCAGGGTTATGGACCTAGGTGGGTATTTTGCCTGACACCCAGTGTGGCAAGTCTCATCTAAAATAAATTCCAAACATTAATTTTGAGGATTATTTGTGGCAAATATGGAACATTTTTGTTAGCATCAGCCAATGCACGTTCATCATTGCACCTGATGTGAGTGAAGGCAGAAGTCTTGCTGTTCTGGATAGAAATATCATGGCTTGTTGGACATCCTTTCCTGAGTAAATCTCATTTAACACATTACCTGAAATCGTTGGTTTGCAGTTGACTTACATTTTGAAAGTGTTAGTTGCAGTTGCTCTGCGCACTGAGAAGCCTCTGGATATGTTTACTTTTACTTCCTTATGACTGCCAGTGGGAGAGATTTTCAGTATTACGAAAGTCCTGCCTGATTTCTGCAGTTCATGGTGGTAGTTTTGGAATTTCTGTTTTAGTAGTGATCATCCAACCACACTTCATGTGGAATTGGAATTATTAAATTAATGACTCGATGTATGTAGAAATTGCTCAACTCATGTCAAACCTGTGTGTTGTACAACAGATGTCCTCTGTCAAGTTCAACCTCCTCCAGATTTGCTGTGGAACAGCCAGGGCATGATCCAAAACCCTTAGAAAATAAAGACCCATACTTGTGTAACTCATGGGATTGTCATCTTTGC